GTTACATATCACTGTATTTTACGTTTTTAAGGTTAATGATATGGTTGGTACGACTGATGCAGTCCATATTCCTGAAGTAATTCAAATGTTTTTTACCTTCATTCTTTAGATCGTAAATTGGTTTTTGGTGGTGTATTACGAATTTGAAATAGTAGGCGACGTCAAATACCAACCGCTTTTTTCTGAAATGTCACTAGTAACTAACCTAAAAATAGAATAATGTCACCAGGAGAAGCATTCGTTTTTAAATTAAGTTTTTTATAAGAAAAATGTTGATTATTGAAGTGAAAAGTGTTAAAGAAGGAGGAATAAGGTGTAAAGGTAACCTAGTGAATAAATGCTTGTGTTTTTAAATAGTTTATTTAGTGAAAAAGAAGGCTGAAAAGTTGCCCTTTTCTGAACTTTGAAGGGCCGTAACTTTTTAAATAAGGGAGAGCGCCGCTTTTTTCTTTCGGATTCGTAATCTACGCATCAAAATACGTAAGTACAGTCAAAAATTTTTTCAAAATCGTCGGGTGTCCAGATAACGAAAATTTACCTTTGAATTTTGAGTAAATATTTCGTCGATGATGTAGGATTTTTCAATTTTGACTAATGTGCGTTCACTTGCAATTTATCGATTGAATTGCTCATGAAAGTTAAAAATATTAACCATATTCAATTTCCATACTCTGGTAATGTCACATGCTTATGACAAACGAAGGTGTTCGTCTCGGTGCGCCCGACAGAAGTGATCTTGGTAAATATTCGTTTTGGGGGCATCCAGCGAATTTTAAAAAAATTTTGAGTGTACTTACGTATTTTAATGCGGAGATTACGAATCCGAAGGAAAAATGTAGCGCTCTCTATTATTTACAAAGTTACGGCGCTTCAAAATTCAGAAAAGGGCAACTTTTCAGCCTTCTTTTTCACAAGATAAACTATTTAAAAACACAAGCATTCGTTCACTAGGTCACCTTTACACATTATTCCTCCTTTCTTGACAGTTTTCACTTCAACAAACAACATTTTTCCAATAAAAATGTTGAAAAATGTACGGAGCTGCTTTTTGGTTATATATCTCTGTTTTTTACATTTTTAAGGTTAATGGCATAGTTGGTACGACTTATTGTATTGTTGCTGCAAACACTCCTACTTGAACTAAATGAAGAATTAAATTTTCTCCTACTTTCACTAAATTATTACTTTCATACCCATTCATTTGGTGTTTTTCTAATCACATACGTCAAACTAAAAATCCAAATCTACGAATTTGAAATAGTATGCGGCGGCAAATACCAACCGCTTTTTTCTGGAATGTCACTAGTAACTAACCTAGAAATAGAAAATGTCACCAGAAGAAGCATTCGTTTGTAAATTGAGTTTTTTATAAGGAAAATGTCGATTGTTGAATTGAAAAGTGTCAATTAAGGGGGAATAAGGTGTAAAGGTGACCTAGTGAATGAATGCTTGTGTTTTTAAATAATAGTTTATCTGAAGGCTGAAAAGTTTCCCTTTTCCGAACTTTGAGTAACTTTGTTAATAAGGGAGAGAGCCGCTTTTTTCTTTCGGATTCGTAATCTTCGCATCATAATACGTAAGTACACTTAAAAAAATTTTCAAAATCGCCGGGTTCCTCCAAAACGAATATTTACCGAAAGTAGATGTATATTAATATGATAATTGAATAACTTTTTTCGAGATCAATTGTCCTAACACCAAACTGATATTTTTGCACTCGACGCGCGTTACGCCAGCAAAGGTAGCATCCTCAGGAGAAGAAAATTGATATCAATTTGCTGGCGAAACGCGCGTCGAGTGCAAAAATATCAGTTTGGTGTTAGAACAATTGATCTCAAAAAAAGTTATTCAACTTTCACGCCAAAGGTTCCAATCTCATCGTTAAAATGATAATGTTAATGAAAAGTTATTTATTAATGAAATCTTTTATTGATTATTTTGTGTATGTACATACATTATAGCTACCATATGCCCATTGTTACTTTTGTAGGATTAAATAATGATACTAATATTGTGAACACACAAAATTAGTATAATCATTTTTAGGCTAAAAGAATAACAAGTGATTTCTGGTTGGATTTTTATAATAATCATAAACACTATTTATACAGTGCATTCCATTTAAAACGAGCCACCCTGAATAATTTTTAATTCAATTATTTACAGGAGAAATAAAAAAAGTCAACCGTAGTATACAGGGGGACAATGATTTCCAGGAAAAATAAAAAGAAACACCCCAACAATAGTGTACAGGGGGACACATTTTGAAATATTCGATCTAGAGACAAATATGGAAGCAATAAATCGGAAAAAGAGATTTTTTATTGATTCTTGAATCAAAATCTGATAACTGGATAATGAGAAAAAAAAAATTTATAGTAAATGTTCAAAAATGTTTTCACTAACTTCCATATAATGGTACTAACGATCTTCCATTGCCTCCCTCACATGGTTGAGAATCTCTGCAATGCCTCATGCTATTCTCTCCGAAATCTTCTGATGTTGATGATTCTATCTCATGCACTTTAGACTCCAATGACCCCATAAAAAATTTACAGAATTGAGAACCAGAGATTTTGGTGGCCATTTGTAGGACCTCTTCTGACAATCCAGCGACCAGAAAAATGATCATCCACAAAAGTGTCGCTCTGGAGCTGCATAATGAGGAGGTGCACCATCCTGCTGAAAAAGTATTTCGTTTACAAATACATGTACATCCTCGACATATCCAAATATTCATCACTAGTCAAATTACCATTGATGAGAAAAGGTCCTATGATGTGGTCACCTAAAATTCCTGCCCAAACATTCAGTTTTTGAGGTCGTTGGTTATATGAACTTGACGGTATAAATGAGGATTTGTATCACTTCAATATCGACAATTTTGCCGATTCACCTCTCCATTCAAACGCAACGTACATTCATCCGATAAACAAATTTCATACAAGAAATTCTGATGTAAGTTGCTCCGTTCAGTGAGACTTTCACAAAACTCGATACGTCTATCGAAATCATCTTCGTTCAATTATTGACCTAGTCTATTCTTATATGGATGAAATGTGTACTTATCAGGGATCCGAAAACATTTGTACAACTGATTCCTGATTCTCGAGATAACATACTAAGAGATTGCGAATTTTCCATTAGTCCAACGTGCCCTAAAACTGCAGTACAAATAGCTTTATCGTTGACAACTTCTGAAAGGTTATGCTTTTTATTGTTAATAGATCCAGTTTCCATAAATTTGTTCAATAATTCCGAAACGTATTTGTGTCGTACATTTCTTCCTGGATGATTATCATTGAACATACGGGCAGCAGCTTTACACCAATTGTAACTTTACCTGGTAGGTAATCGTTATTGTAGAATGAGACAAATACAAATATCGAATTCAAACTTAATCAAGCAAAATAAGACTTTTTTGAAGTATATTTTACACAAACACCTTTGAAACCTAGGTAACAGATTATACAGAAGTTCATTCAGGGTAGCTCTTTTTCAACTCAAATAATGTTTAGGTTCCAAACTTTGAGCTTCAGACCATAATGTATTCTACTTTGTTGAAATCTGTTCATCATGGAACATTTGATAATGTAAAACAATTGATCCATTTAAAAAAAATGGTGACATGCTCTGGGGGTGCGATAGGAAAAGTAACATCAAATGTGAATGTCAAAATGTGTTTTCCTGTAAACTTTGGTTGACGTGTTTTTTCATTTCTCCTGCAAAGCATTTTCTAGAAGTTATTCAGGGTGGCTCGTTATATAGAGAGCAAGAGAGAAAGGGAGAGAGTTTACATTCATTCACCGACTTATTTCAGCGTTAAAAACAGTTTTTAGGCATAATTATACGACTTCATACGTAACAGGTCCCAAATTTCTTGTTATGTTCTCTAAAATATAATCAAACGTCTGAACTTCCCCTTACACTCCCCTATAATCGAACGTCTAAACGATCCCTTAGTAGACTTGACTCCACTAGTTCGACGTGTCACGATAAGGTGAGATATTGCTCACAACACTACTTCAGCATGTCTGGGAAATTCAATATCCGGGCAAGTAGTTGTTTTCCGACAGATGTTTACTAGAGCTTACTGAGTTGAAAGAAATTAATATTCCGAAATTTATTTCGAAATATTTATTTTCTAATACGTATGTATCTCTCCTCGATAGTTTTCATTTCTGATTCCTGTAAGATCATATTCCGAATTGCAATGGAACTTCAAATTTATCCATGGTATGCTTCCGTGTTATAGCTCACACTGCAACTTATTACAATAAAGCACGCTCAAGACATACGTAACAACCTCCAACACACTCGGTTGACTCTATTCTGCCCTAAAGTTTCAAGTTTATCGTGCTCAGGTCCTCGAGGGTGTAGTTTCTATGCAGAAAGGACTACTCTTGCTAGTTTACGTTAAAGCTAACTCTGATTTACATAATTTGGGAATGGTTTAATCGAGAAAGGTTCAGCAAAACATCACGGAGACTTGCTGCTGAGTGCTAACCTAATACCCGCATATTTTTTGTTGACGTGCGAGTGACCACTTCATTCGTATAATTTATAAGTCCGGTACGTAAAGAAACAATTAAAGCAATTGAGTTAGTGAGGCTTGCTAATTGGTTGAAAATGGAGATACGATGGCCTCTTGTTGGAGTCATCGGGTCAAATTATATATTGAGGATGTTCCCTAGATTCTGACTCTAGAGAAACGTTATCAGTGATGATGAGGAATAGAATTATATAAATATATTTGATAATTCATTGGATGGCGCGGTTGTAAGCAATATTGATAATAAAAATGGTAAAGCAATCGAAATGTCGCAAAATATTTCAGTCTAGACTAGAGCCTCATTCTGAAACTACAAATAAATCTGGGTTCGAATCTCCGAAATCCGAATCCCTGTTATTTTACTTTTATTCACTGTATATTCATGCATAATTCACCTTTTGATTGTTGAACTTAAAACTAAAAGTCTTTCCAACAAATTTCGTAAAAGTCTTTCAAACAAATTTCGTTGCTTTGCTAATTTCCATCCGGTTTCACGTTCTGTATCAATGTGATATTGTCTCCTTTCAACATTATCCTTCTCAAGGGCTTCCTCAACTTCGTCTTCATGTAGTATTCTTCGGCGTCGTCCAACACGAAGTTCATGTATTCGTCGAAACCGACGATGTGCCCATCGATACGCAGGTGGACGTTTTCGTAGAGCCAAACTTGTACCCTCGATCGGTTTTGCAAGTACTTGAAGATGAGGTTGATGGGTTGCACCATCACCTTTTGTACTTTTTGCGGTTTGTAGGCCATTTTCGTGGTGTTTCAGTAGCGAAATTTAAGTCGAAATTTGATGAAACCGTTGAAGAATGTCAGATTGCAAAATATCAGAGTACAACATTTAAAATTCATTTGCAAACCTCACTCTCATTCATCTGAACAAATACTATATTTCTATTTTTTCTTTATCGTTACAAAAAAAAATGTAGAAACTTCCTAACAAAGAAATAGAGCAATCAATAGAAACCCTTTACAAAGATCATGCACAAAAGTTCTATTCAGATACAAAATGAAAGGAATGCTCCATCAAAAACAGCAACTTATGAAACTTACGAATTTATGAAACACGCTTTTAAGGAGCATCAACTAAAAAGATAATTTTTTTTTATAAGCTAAGAACAATAACGGTCGTAAAATAGCAGTATTATTTTGAAAAATGCGTGGGCGCTAGATATACAAAAAATGTGGCACAAAGCAACCACGCTTTTTTCAAAATAGTACTAGTATTTTTCGATCGTTATTGTTTTGAGCTCATTTAAAAAAATATATCTAACTTTTTAGTTCGATGTTCTTTAAAAGCGTGTTCTTTAGTTTTTTTTAAACTATATTTATTTTCAACTTTTAAGTTCGATGTTCTTCAAGAGCGTGTTTTGTAATTTTATAAACTATATTTATTTTTTACTTTTTAATTCCATATGCTATAAAAGCGTATTTTTATTTTCTTAAATTATAATTATGGAATACTTGAGTAACTGAATTTTTTAGGTACGATAACGTTTTCATTATTGAAATCCATATTCTGGTTTGCTTTCAAATAATCGAATTAGATTTTAAAATGTATCTTTCGTTTCGTTCAAAACTTTTTTCTGTACTAAATCACGGGTAATTGAAAATATTCAAATATCTAAATATTTCATCTAACACTTATAATTGTTAAAATCCATTTTTTATTTTGATTTTCTTTTAAACAATCTATCAAAGAGGTTACATACAGCGCCATCTGCCCGCGAATAGCTCAAGCAATAACGTCGATAGTTACGTACAGCACCACCTGCCTGCGAATAGATCAAGAAATATCAAGGAGGTTACGTACAGCGCCATCTGCTCGCGAATAGATCAAACAATAATGTCAATAATTCTGTCGATACAGATCCCGATATTGAGAGTTTCAAACAAACAAACATACATACATATAGGTGAAGCTAATATAAAGCGTGTTTAAATAGAATTAATTTTCATTTTTCTCAAAAAATATTTATCTATTCACCAATTTCTATTTTGTACATTTCAAAGTAGTCTCCGTCAGATAAAACATATTTGTGTCAGCGGTTTATTTTATCCCCGAAGCAGTCCAATGTGCACTTTTTGGTATGTGCTTGATAGCCCATGAACCCACGATAGCTAGACCTTCGTTATTTTATAAAAGCTGAAAGTTTTTCTTTGTATGTCTCCTATTCAGATAAGAACGACCAGCGACTATAATAGAGTTTGGAGTGTGGTTAGTTGGGCATGTTATAGTAGTAGTATATTTTTTTCGAGATAACTTTAGAAATCCTGTCATCCATTGCCGAATACTCATCAAAGTTGCTACCCCTGAACTTAAATGAATTATAATTATACTTTCGTTATAGTATAAAGCTAATTTTCATATATGTTACTTGGAGACCTATAGAAAAATGTTAACTCAATAGCCGGACAGTTTCAATGGTTTCAAAGAAAAAAATCGTTTTCATAAATTTTATCATTGTCGACGATATTTTCACTTTTTCCGTCACTACTCCTCCAGACGATGGCATCGTCGTCGTCAATATCGCCTTCTTCGTCAGTTTCTGAAAAAATAGGCAAGTTTATACAATTATGAATAATTGAAAAATTATTTATAATAATGTGTCATAATATGTAATTACATACCTGATTGAGTTTTGATCAAATTAACAACATAACTTAATAGTTGATTCCATTCAAAACATTCGAACTGGTATTTGTCATTTTTTAATATCCTGCCGTTATTCTCTGGTTGATATGTGGTTGGATTTTTCAGATGAGCATTTTTCCAAATGCTTTTGCAAGGTGGTAGATTGCACAATTCAGGATTTTTCCGTTTTTCATTACATCTACCTAGGAGAGTAGTAAAGTAAAAGCCCAGTTATTGTGATGGTATCGAAACTTATCCTGACAGTTAATGCTCGGTTGTTATAATTTTTATCTGTAACTCATTATTTTCCATTTTCAAAACAGTTTGACATTTTCTCAACGTTTCCCCCGAGAACAATATTATCCAACCATCACTTTCATTACAAACGAAACGAATTAATGTATTCTTCATGATAAAAATTATAAAACGTTAGTTGTACCTACACATAATTGTTCAATACATCACTGAATGACAAATGATGCGCAGTAAAAGATCGCAGTAAAATATCGCAGTCAACCAAGGGGTGTCTGGTAAGGGGTAGCAATTGTCATGAGTGTCTGGCAATGGATGACGAGATATCTAAAATGATTCCGAAGAAAATATAAAAAAATTGAGCTTTATACGTTAACGAATTTTAGGTATTATTTCATACACCATTAATACCTGTTACCTGCTCAAGAACTAGTTAATCTAACCTGTACAAGTTACATACACAGAAAAAAATTTCAGCTTTCAATAAATAACGAAGGTACGGCCGTTGTAGCCGCATTAGAAGATCTACGTATCCGAAAACATTGCATGTCATAAGTCAACTGACGGTATACTCGGCAACTTCTCTAATAGTGTTTCGATGATACTCCATACCAATTTTCTTCACTTTATCAACATTGTCATTGGTTGTTGATGCAGTGGCGTAGTGTAGTGGGAGCGGAAGGGGTGGCCCTCCCCAGGCGGCAATTTTTAGGGGGCGGAAAAATTTCACGTTAAATAAAAATATATTTTGTAAATATTTGAACAATTTCATATTTTAACGCAACCATAAATTCTGATCGATTGAAAAGAGCACGGAATTTTTCATTACTAATTCTGTGACGAATCTCCTTGATATCTTGGATCCTGTTCAATTATTTCAACTATACGAGGTTGTATTGTCTCTTCAAGAAGTTGTAAATAAGAATCACCGGTTAAATTTCCATCAATGAAAAATGGACCTATAATATGATTGCCTAATATTTCGGCCCAGACATTCAACTTTTGGGAATGTTGGGTATGTATTTCTGCGTATTGTCTTTGGTTTTCATCCGACCAATAACGACATTTGTGACGGTTCACGCAACCATTTAAATAAAATGAGTTTTCGTCCGAAAAACAGATGTTATAAAGCAGCTCGGGATTTTGCATTTATACCTCACTTATGCATCATCCTCATTGAGTTCATGAATAAGTTTAATTTTGTAAGGACGGAATTTGTGGTTTTTAAGGATTCTCCATACGCTCATATGGCTTATTCCGGCCATTGCTGATAAACCTCTGGTACTTAACCTGTGATTGGCGATGACTTGACCAATCACTCCAATCGCATTATCGTCATTCACTACCCTTCTCTGAACATTTATTCTCTTATTTAAAACCGAACCTGACTCCCTGAATTTTGTGACCAAATCCAGAACGTGATTTCTGCTTAGGTGTTTACCAGGGTTTTGCTCGTTGAATAAAATTGATGTTCTATTAGCATTTTGGTCATTGCCAAAAAATAAAGCAATAACTGAAATCCTTTCAGCAGAAGTCTAAGGCATTTTTAAACAAATATCAATACACGACCCGTTTAAACAAAATAATCGAACGATGTACTAATGAAAACTGGAAGGAGAGGAGTGGGTATTGATTTTAAAAAAAGGATTTTATTTAACAAAAAACTGATAAGAAGAACTGCTAGATATTTTTTTATTTAGGCATACAAGTTACCGAGTTGTCTGTCTAATGTATTATTAACATGGCAATTTCAACTTCAAATTATCTCGAAAACTAATCGTTACAAAAATTTTCTTTTAACAAAGTTGTAAAGATATTCGAAAGACAAGGTGCCACGCGACCTACTTTCTCTATCTAAATAAGGGTCGTCGGACGCACCCCTCCGAGGGGGTGCGTACTAAAAAAAATCTGATTAGTCTGAAAGGTGTCCCCCTTCAATTAGAAATCGACGTGTCCGAGCTTTTTTCAAAAATCTAATTAAGAGGGTGGCAAAATTATTTCCGCCCCAGGCAGCCGATACCCATGGTACGCCACTGTGTTGATGTGCTGTGACGTCCGGCCAAGCGTCGCCATTCACATCTTCTCGACCTTCTGTGGGAAGCTTGTACCCTTGTAAATACTTTTCCGACTCAAAGTACGATCACCGTATGCTACTGTCAATATTTCAAGTGTTTCAGAGCACTCAATTACATGTTTTATACACAGTTTCAAGCCTCTCACCAACAAACTGAACATGATAAATAGCTGAAACTGTGTACATATGTTCGAGAAGAGTGTATCAACACATACAAATTTAAAAAATTGCTATTCGAATGTACGTAGCCCGCGAAATTTGAACATTCACATTATTTTTTCAGAAGATCATTTCTAAAGTTGGATGAAAACATTGAAAAATTTGAAATCAGGCAAAATATTTTTTCATCTTATATTCAATAACCAATATTTGAACGAATGATTGCATCTCGAATACCATTATTGAATACAGAATTGTTATCTTCTTTTTGTTCACCTTACTGAAATACTGTTAGGTGCCCTTTCATGACGCCCATTGTTATTTTCCAAGTGTTAGCGATGGTAACAATTTGACGTGGCATTGTATGAATCTGTATAATTCTATCGATTCACTGAGGAATTCCTGACGAAATCCTTTGCGAATGTCATGAATAACATTCGTATCGATGGTTATATATTCGATTCAATTCAAAAATCGCATTGATTTATATTGCTATGAAAATGTGTGGACTCCAACCATATATAAAGGAATTATGAGGTTGTTAGAAAAGTTTTGTCCATTTTTATGAGTCTACTTTAAACTGTAATATCTCAGTGTAATACCCATTCAATTTAATAAAAATAGGCGTCAGTTTATTCCGTGCACTTTTTTCTTCGTAACACAAGTCGTCAACAAAAAAATAGGGAT